AAATCCTTATTTTTCGATCCCTACTCATTGGATAATATAGCAGCTGCAAGTATATGGTTTTCATTTGAAAATTGTCGGATTATTGTATGCAGGTAAAACGATGACGACTCTTACACATCATAAGAAGTCTGTCCGAGCAATGACTCTCCATCCTAAAGAGTATGTGTAATTGCATTGCTTCCACTTTATCTTTCCAACAGTGGAGTCTTCGAGATGCTGTATCTGAACTTTTACTAATTTATCTCTTGTTTTTTGTTATAGGAATGCCTTTGCTTCCGCATCAGCTGACAACACCAAGAAATTTAGCCTACCAAAGGGAGAATTTTGCCACAACATGCTGTAAGTCTGCTCGATAAATATACATTCCATTCTTTTGCATCTCTAGTGCTTTTGAAATAAGAGTTTTCATTATAATTTAAACAATTTCATTTTTCTGATGTGTCTAATGTTTTCTTTCTCCGTGGAACAGTTCGCAGCAGAAAACCATAATTAACGCAATGGCTGTGAACGAGGATGGTGTAATGGTCACTGGAGGTATTAGATTCATTTCACGATCCAGTTTGTCTGTGATTGTTTTTCTACATTTTCTTATCCTTCATTATCATTTTTTAACCAAACTTGGTCCTCTGTCTATGTACAAATGAAGGTGATAATGGAAGTATATGGTTCTGGGACTGGAAGAGTGGTCACAGTTTCCAACAGTCAGAAACTATTGTACAGCCTGGTACGTACATTCATAGCTTGTTTCATGTTCATTTGATCTTGATCTGCTTCTAAGGTTAGACTGAACAAGTCTCAATATGGTAACTTACCAAAAAAACGTAATCAAATTGAATCTTGGTGAAGATCCAAGTAGATGATTAAGCTCTAAAGAAACGATAGCTAAGTCTCGATTGTTTTAAAAGCAACAGTCATGGGGGGTCTAAATTGATGTTTATGTTGGGGATATGGCAGGTTCACTGGAGAGTGAAGCGGGTATATATGCAGCATGTTATGATCACACAGGTTCAAGATTGGTAACATGTGAAGCCGATAAGACGATAAAGATGTGGAAAGAAGATGAGAATGCAACTCCAGAAACTCATCCTGTCAACTTCAAACCACCCAAGGAGATTAGGCGATTCTAACAACCTCTCTATATTTGTATCTGAAACAGTCCATGGCGGGAGGTCCAACTGTTATGTTCTGGCTAGAGAGAAGGGGCTGATGTCGTTTTGAGTATTTTTCCTTTTTATGTAGAGGAATACCTCCTCATGAAACACTTATCGAAGAACAATGTATTGAATTTCTTTCTGAGATCTCTATTTTCTTTTATCTCTTGTCTCTTTTCTTCTCATCTCTCATCTCCTCTAAACAATTTTCGAATCCAAATGATCCCTGTCCAAAAGGATTTTACACATACATACACATACAGCATAACGAGTGCTTAAGTTTAACACAACTTGGTTCTTTGGGCAGATCCTCCATAGGCTTGACTGGTATGATAATGGCAATGAGCAATTGAGCATCAATGCATGTCTAATTAATTATTTTGTACCGTTTTTTATTTGTTTTATGACAAAAATAGAATTTCTAAGACAAAATTTAATATCACATTGAATGGGAAACAGATGCAAGATGAAAGAGTTTCGATTACTTTAACTTATCTTTATATTCAAAATTCGATCTTACAGAGGCAAAATGAATAGAGAGTTGTAACTTTAAAAAATTCTAAGGATCGATCCCAGCTTTGCAAAAAAAAAACGAATGCAAAGCCAATATTGAAACTTCGCATAGAGTTTAGATTTGTAAAAATGTAAAAAATGTAAGTCACATATCTGAACTTGATCTTAGATATTCAAAATGTTTAGTTCAATTTTTGTACAAATAAATATTATTAATTAAAACGTATTAATATACGATTTACAAATACTTTTAATATCAATGATGCGCGTACTGTATATTATGCCAAAAATTATCAAAATTATTAAAATGAGCTTTACGAAAATTATTGTTGTACAGCGATTCACTCCTTGTCCAATATCCTGAAATAGGTGAGCAACGTGTCAAAGGTTTATTGTCGCGAATCCGTTCGACATCTCAGACATACTTCTTGATCATGTCACACACGCTAACTAGGAAAGAAATCATTGATTAGACCTTGTTGTACCATTTTCTTGAAAACTATTATTAGAATCTTATACTAATCTTCATGATTCTGTTTTTTTTTTTTTAAAACTATATGTGTCTTGTTTATTGGTGAGAAATAAAGATATCAAAACGTCAAATCAGCATTTAACATTTAATTTCAATTCAGATTTTAAAATTTCAATTCTTTGCTTCTTTCTTATACTTAGGCTGTGAATGGTAATTCTTTTTATCCGTTTTTCAAAACCACAAATAAGTCACCAATCAATATGTTTTTAAAAGTGTTTTGCATTTTTTCAAAAAGTAAGAAACACTGTTTTCGTTTTTTTCGAATGGTCATATATCACACTTATAAATGAATCACTTCTATTATCTAGCGGTTCAAAACTATTTGCGATTTTTCAAGTGCGGTTTGGTTTTTAATTATTTTGTAAGACGACAAAAATAGAACTTTTTAATTTTAAAGCAACTATTCATAAAATTTATGTGTTGGTTTAATATTTATTTTTTCTATGTTGAGATAATTAAATTAGACGATAAAATATTTACTGATTTTTTTTTAAACTTTTCTTAAGCTAAATACTGATTTTTTTGTCAAAATTAAACTTTATTTTATTTTAAATAAATTTATATTTAAAATTAATAAATTTTAAAAAAATTAAATTAAATTTAGGCTATAATGGTGACGGCGGTGCGGGACGGATTTCGTAAATCTGCTTTTATGTTACCAATCATCAAAAATTATTGCAACTGCGGTGCGTTTTTCTATTTTTAATAAAAAAATGAATAGTAGAAATGCGGTTTTAGTTTTATGAAGAAAAAATGAAATTTGTATGAAATAGTAATTACGCTAGGTTTTTGATGCGGTTCTGTTTTCATGTGCGGTTTTCTATATTACAACTGAAATTTTTTATAAATATTAATATGCGGTTTTCTATATAAAAATTATGTTAAAATTTTAGGAATAACAAAAAATTTAAAAAATTATAGAAAAAATTATGAAATTAATCAAATGAATCAATAAAGTTTTCTTTTAAAAAAAATATGTTTAGACCATTTCTAATTTATAATTTTACTAATATTTTTAATATATTTGTTTCTGAAATATTTATCATATTGCATATATGTTGTTTTTCATTAATTATATAGTATTTTACACCACTTATTTTGTATTAAATGCACAAATAGTTTTTTTGTTCGATTGCGGTTGAATTTCTCTCGTATATACCACAGTTGAATATCTCCTGCACATACCGCAGTTAAATTTTCCCGTACGTACCGCAGTTAAACTGTATTATACTTTAAAAACATTTTAATTTTCCCGCACAATTAAATACGCCGTTATCATTGGGACCCTTAATTAATTGCTTTGTTTTGCAGAAACATAAGCTTCTCACATGGCAGCTAGTGTATCCCAAGGACTCTTTTTAGAGGAATGCAAGAGGTATACGAGAAAAGAAGAAAACGACACTTAACGCAAAATATCTTACATAGCCGCTGCTTTGGTTATAATTTTATTTTAAAAAAAACACATATTCTTTTTAATAAATTTAAAAATAGAAATGATAAAAAAAATTTTATTTTTTTAATTAAAAAATAATATATAATAATTTAATATTATAAAAATTTATCTTCATGCCAATACTATGTTACTAAATAACATTTGATTAATTTATAACATTTTTAGTTGATTTTAGTATATTAACTTATAAGTGAGATCAAATACGTTTTTAAAATATTATATATATATATATATATAAACCAATACAGTTAAAATTTCATAATTTATATATGTAAATTTAAAAATTAAAACCGCAATATTTTTTTAATATATTATTAAAACATTTGTATATAAAAATAAAAGTTTTATAAATATAATTAGGTGCATATAATTTTTATAAAAAAAAACGCAAAATCTAGTTTACTTAAATGTTTCAAAGACATTTGTAACTTCTTCTGTTAACAATATTGTTTATGTACATTAAAATATTAGAATACATATTTGCTTCTCTCTTCATCGTTTATTTTCTCTACTTTGGTGTTTACTAAACATCTCTATCAAATATAAATTTTAGACTTGTGAATCCGATAGTTAGTTCATTCGGTTAAAGAATAATGTCTCATAAAACTTAAATACTTCATAAACATTTTCATTACAAATAGTATACACTTGAGTTTCAAACCGTTATCAAATTATCATATAGGTTTGTTTGGTTACGAGCTTAAAAACTGAAAACATCAAGACGCATAATCATAACATAATTATGTTACAAAAACGATCAATCTACACCAATTAGTCTAAATTCTAGTAGATTCGTAAAGTCTTCCACTAGTAATCACATGCAAAACCAGATTAGTGCGATCTAAGCTTTGGGATAATCTTTAGATCATGTGTGCGTAATCAATATATAATTAAAGGAAAAAGCTCATCGTTTTGAGCTATGACACCTGTTTGTTTGTTATCATACGTAAGAAACACGATTAGAGTAGAAATAATATCATATCTCACCGACCTCTTTAGATTTTTTTGCATCGAAATTACTTGTTTATTCGCCGATCTTAATAAACTTTTATAACAAGTATCGTTTAGCGGAACTTAGATTGTTTTTGTTTTGCTTCTTTTATGTGATTTATCAAACGAGATCAGATTACAAACAATTTACTTTATAATTTTTCTCTTAAAGTAACAAAACCAAAAAAACAAACAACCGAAGTAAAAACCAAACCGTAAACTGAATTACTCATTCCGATAATGAGAACAATTATGAGAATATATGGACCACTGGAAAATCATTGGCTCACAACAAGGCCCATGAGCCCAAAACATTTCATCTTTTCATGGTGTATATAAACGCACCCAACCCAAAACCCTAAAGACTTCAAGAAACCATCACCGGAGATTCTAACGGCGGCTTATTACCGGCGGCTACTGCAAAAAGATTGTTGTCTTCATAAGGGTACATTACGTACCTTGGAATTATAACATCTTTTTGCGGTAGCTAAAAGTTAAGCTCGATTCGTTAATCTATATTATATATATCAGAAATATCCAATATCTATATAATAAAAATGGCCTCCCGTTCACTCTCTGGTGCCGTTAAATCTCTTTGCTCTGCCGCATCCGGCAATCTTTCTGGTTCCATTGTCTTAAGGTACTTTTGTTTAAAATGATCCGTTTTTTGTTTTCTTTCAAGTTACTGCATATACACACTCTTTTTTTTTCCTAGATCATGCAGTTCATTTTTATATTCCTATTGAAAATAATCAAATAACTTATGTGTTGAAATTTTTACATTTCTAATTAGATAAGATGATGGTATTGAATATACGGCTAAAGATTGATCTATAAATACACGTGATCACTTAGATCTAATAATCTGAGTATTTCTTTTGCTATAGTTTATTTATCGAATTTAGATCCGACGCATAACGATAACCTATGCATGATATCATCAGAGTATCACTTTTTTTCTTCTTTTTATTGTTTGCTACTGTTTAGTATCTGCAATTAGGAAAAGTTTAAAAATGTATTAAAAAGTTGGAAAATGTTACTTGGATTGTAGGAGGAACGTTGCGACAGCACCAGGATTCAGTAAGGCAGGTTCTACCAGAGTTACGGTGGGGAAGCTCGAACAAAGAGCAAATCAAGAAGCAGAGTCTGCGTGGGCCCCAGATCCAGTCACGGGATACTATAGACCTTCTAATCGGACGGATGAGATTGATCCAGCGGAGCTCAGGGAGATGCTTCTGAAAAACAAAGCCAAGTCTTTCTGATAACGATGTTGACTTTTGATTGGTTGATTCCACGGTAGGCTGTCGTAGGCGATTTTTATGATTCCGTTTGTTATGTTTGGCTTTATATATCTGTTTGAGATTAAAGTTTTTTTGTAACAATGTTTGAGATTAAAGTTAAAAATAAAAGTTTATAAATCAGTTAAAAATATATATATGTATATAGATGGAATTCGTATATCTAAGGGTCTATTTTTATCGAAACCTACGATACCTACCGAGTATCTTATAATATGTTTTGGTGAATTTAGAAAGAAAGTTAAGTAAAGTGAGATTTTTTTTGGGAATATATTGGGATAGAATTTTCCGGGAAGTTAGAGGTTCAAACCAAAAGTCATAAAAGATGAACGAAAGAAATGGGCTACATTTGATATTAGCCGGATCACTTGTTTTTAGCTATATATAAAATAAAGGCTACAAATGTTTCGAATGTAGTATTGTCGCTTTTGAAATATATCAACATCTTTAACAAAAACAAGAAACATATCAACGTAATTAATCCACAATGAAACTGAATAAGACTAATTAAGATTTATAGATCAAACTAACTGCACTTGATTTGTCTATAATTGCCATCTTTTTATTGGATTGCTTTTTGTATTAGTAGCTAGTGGATACTTTTATTCTGAAAGAGAGATAAGATTACATACTGACACTGATCACACATATAAATACAAAAATCAATTACAACACTGACCCCTTGATCTAACCATCTAAAAACAAATCATTTGTACATTATTTCAAAATAGGTTTGTTCCGTCGTTAACTTTAATCACATGTATAATCTCTAGGTTTCTGGACAATTATTAAGGTTTACGAACTTGACAACCCCCAAGTACACCATTAGCAGCTTCACGTAGCTTAGGATCCGGAGACTTAAGGGATTTAGAGATACATGATGTTGAGTTTTTAAGTTTCTTACAACATGCTTCTCCGTATTTAGGATAAAAGGCAGTTCCTGTATTGATATAAGGTGATCTAGAGCATGTGCAGTAGTGAATCCCATTATGGAGTTCATCCGATTAAAATAATATATAATTTTTTTTTTCGTTTTTGTAATGAACTTAGGTTATGGTTGAATTTCCAGTAGTGAACCCGTTTATGGGGTTCATCCGCAATATTATATTAATATTTTTTTTTTGGGAATTTTTTTTATAAATAAAATAAAACATCACTTATTTAAAAAAAGATATTGTAAACTATAGAATAATAAAATTTATTAATAAAAAAAATACAAACACCCATTTTTTAAATTATAGAAATACTTAAACATTTGTTATACACATTTAAGAAGTACCAAACTTATTCCAAAGATTTTCGATTAAATCTGCTTTCAATTGTTCATGTATTCGATAGTCACGGATTTCGTTTCGTTTCGCCATCATCAAATTTGAGACATTTGTCGGCCTATTTGTAGAATACGACATATCGACATACGCATTTCTGCTTCCCTCATCTTGTTGGAATTGTTCTATATTGGCGAGACTGTAGCTATCACGTTCGTTTTCTACTACCATATTGTGTAATATGATAGAAGTCCGCATAATCTTGCCAATTTTTCCTTTATCCCAAAAAGAGCTGGATTTTTAATTATTGCAAATCGAGCTTGAAGAACGCCAAAAGCCCGTTCAACATCTTTGCGGACGGATTCTTGAGCTGTTGCAAATAACTTATTTTTTTCTCCTTGCGGAAGTGATGGTGATCTTGATGTGTGGTGTCGAGGGTTGTCAAGTTTTACCCTAATTGAAATTAATAGCCGCAAGTGCACAACTGATCAATTGTAGTACTTAGGGATCGAATCCACAGGGAAGGAGGATCTTTTCCTGCAAAAAGCCTTTGAAATAAGTTAAAGTAAGGAAGTCTAGAACAAAAACGGTTTTGTAGGGGTTTGGTAGTGTGTTTAAAATCTAAAAACGAAATATTAAAAGAGAATACGAGAATTAAATGACGTAATAACTAAACTTAACGAAAATAACTAAAAATAATAAAAACGGATATTCTAATGCTTAAATGAAAATGAACTAAAAAGGGAAGACAATATTGAATTAAAGCTTAAAAGAAAATCGGTGTAAAACAATGGAGAAGA